GAATAAAGAAAGCGTGGACAAAATCATTTGGTTAAATCAACATAGCCCCGTTATATGGAGTTTTAAGGAAATAACTGATTTCTTGAAGACTAGGTTTAGATGGAGATTGTGATTTAATAGACAATAGTCCTCCCCTTTATCTTTATACTGAGAAAAACCTGTGCTTTCCTGCAAGTATTTGGCATTTTCAAACATTTCAATATCATCTCAAAGCTGAGAGGGACTAAGATGATAGACGCTTTAGTTTTTTACTCTTCTGAACTCACAGAGTTCTGCTGTATCAAAAACTATGACTGTGTTGAAAATGGATTACAGAAGTTCTTAATTGATGCCAACTGGCAGCTGGAACGGACAACGGCTGTGATCTCCTGTACAGGCCAGATGTGTCACAGAGCTAGAGAAAGTGTGTAAAAATTGAAATATCGAAGAGGACGTGAAACAAGAAATGGAAATTACTTCCTATAATGAGATCAGGAAAGTAAACATCAATTCTAATTTACGGCCTTTTACTGTTGCACCAGCTCATCAAAATTGCTAACTGTAGTTTTCCTAATAACTACACTAATTACTACTTCCTTACTAAGCCACATTAGGATATTTAGACTCTCCCGAAGGTACAGACGCAGTTCCTCATCACACAACCCAAGTACTTTGTTTTTCCATGGGATTTTTGCCTGTTGATACCTGGAGAAAGAGAATTGGCATTATTTAACGAATCGCTGTTTTCCATTGTTTAGTAACATTTCCAGACCAGCACACTCTGTACCTATGAAAGTCTGAACTCCTTCCCTTTCATGTTAATTCTTCAGATTCCAGGTTCCCAATTTCTGTGTTTGCCAACGTACTCTGAGAAGTTTGTTCTGGTTTTGATAAAGCATCACGTGACTTTGCTCTCAAGAATGGAGAAATCCTTAATTGCTAGGTGCATTTAAATAAAGTGCTTTGTCTAGGAAGGCAGGTCCGGTCAGCGGGAGCCGCCCATGGCAGTCCCTGCACACACAGGGAGATGGCAGGCCAAGCACGGCCACTGCTGCAGCAGCTCCTCTCTCAGGGGCAGGCTGCTCCTACCCATTGGCTTCTGAACCCTGTTCATACTGCTTAAACTCTTTTTTTTTTTCCTCCAAGCACCAAAGTTTGACTTTTTCATCCGTACCCGTAGCTCTGGGATTTGGGATGTATGAGGAATGGAGGTGTAACTCAGCAGTACCAAATAAATTCCTGCTACCTTAAGTTCCTAGCATCCACGCACAAACACTGTGAAACAGAAACCTCTGATCTACCTTTCTTAGATGGAGTGCTGCTTAGACACTGCACAGAAGTCATTCAGCAGGTGGCACACACTGCAGCTCTGAGTGCTTGAGGTTTTCAGGAATTAGACTGCTTTATTTTGTCACCTCGAGGGATACAAGTTAACATCAGAACATGTTTAGTAAGACACATTTGGGTATAAGTAAAAATTGTATAGAAAATATTACAGTACTTTATAAATAATTCCCTTGCACTGTTAAATATTTTGAAAAGGTAAACAAGCTAGCAGTGAAGGAAGAAAATATGAAACATTTCCACCTGCTGTTGGATTATCCATTGATTTTTCTGACTGAGGATGATCTTCTCATTACCTGATTACTCTGATTACCAGACAACCACAAATTAATCTGATTCAAGATCCACTGCAATTAAGAAAAAATAAGACAAGCACCTCAAACTTAACCATGTCTTACTTACTGTGAGAATGACAACAGTCCTGTTTGGAAAGGCCACAGAATAAGGGAAATACAAACAGTAACCACTACATGTGTATTTCATATAAGCCACAATATCATTGTAAAAGAAAGAAACAGAAATATATATATTCACACGTTCATACTCTTAGGTGCAACAATCTGTTGTGTACAGATCAGTGAAGTAGATTTGTTTTGTTTTTTAAGGTGGGAGCATTACGTTCAGAAAAGATAATCTTCCCTTCAAATATTCCCTTCAAAACTCTATCAATCTTCACCTCAATTCCTGCCTCTCTGTAGAGGGCTGGACAGGGTTTGATAAATACCACATTCACTACCAAGACTTTGCACCACAAAACTGAAGACTGGCTTAAAAATTAAAAATAAAAAAAAAAAGGATTATAAGACTCAAGTTAGCTTTTTTTTAGGATTAAAATGGCATCATTTACAAGTCACCTAGCAGGAGAAAGCAGAAGCAAGATAAATTAGAATCAGCCTAATTGCTAAGAAATGCCTTTGCAGCTATTTATAGCTGCTGGGGAACATAGAAATCTGTAATAAACTTCAGTGGTGAGCAGATTTACTGCTCAGGTCGTTCAGTACCTGATGAGAAGAAATGTTCAAGCAAACTGACTCACCAGAAGCCTTGTGGTGTCTCATCGTTGTTCATCTTGGAAGGCAAAAAGGTGGCATTCCTCTACAAGACTTTCAAGTAGATTATCTCCAAGATTTCTTCTGTTCATTTTCCCTTGGTGTTCCCTTGCTTATTTGCATACAGAAATGACTTTCAGGATCCCATCAATTTTTTACCAACTCATTTGAAGAAAACAAAATTTATGTTTTTCCTTTCTCTTTCCCCGGCTTCATGCTCACATTCACCACTGGTTGGTTGCACAGGAGAACAAACAAATGGGAAGAAGCAATTTTTTGAAGCTAGGTACTGCAATGAAAGAATCATATTGAACTGTACCCCAACCATGTCTGTGGTTGAGAAGTCAAATAAAGGCACCACACTTCTGGTAGAAATTAATAAAATGGCCATGGTAGGGAAGTCATCGATAATAAGAGTTAAAATCAAAACTATTGAAAATTAACTCATCTAAACTTTAGAGTGACCTAAAATGTAGATTAATTTAATCTAGCACTATCATACTAAAATGCACAAATAATTGGTTTGGGGCTACTTTATTCCTTTTTCAAGTAGATGCTCACATTTTGGGCTTGTCAAGACCCAATAAGACTCTCTAAATTTTAATTCTTCTATTACCTCTATTACTCAGAACAGCATTCCATTAAGTAACTTGTAAAGGATTCTCTGTGTTGGATCATTTCTCTGGGATTATCTCAAACATCCTAATCACCAACCTTTGAAGATCAGTAATTAGGCTCAGAACAAACTACTAGTGGAAAAAGACCATTAGCTTTAACAGAAGGAGCTCTGCAAGTGTGATAGATGTTAGGACCACGAATTAACAAAGCTGCTTTTGACTTACAGGTGAAGCCACAAATACCTGTCTGTCAGAACTACAGGTAAATGGCTCATGGACATAGAGTCAGGACACACTAACACTTAGGTCACTGAAACTGCAAAACATTTTTGAGAAGCTATTTAACAAGCTTATGGATGCACTACAGATTAGAAAATAAAGCTCTCATATGTTTTCCCTTTCAGGAGAGAGAAACACTTGCAAGACATGGCAGATTTGATTCTAGGAAATTACATTTCTAAGCAAAAGAATCAAGTTGTATGAACCAGCAGTGTAAGTAGTCACTAGTTTTTTCACTCTAACACTGGCTGGAATAATTAAATGCACTTTTTGTTGCAGCCCCTGAATGGGGCATAACCCTTTCTAAAATAATTGCATAGTTTGCAATCTCCTATGGTTTTATTTTGTTTGTTTCTTTTGCTTTGGAGTCACATGGTAACATCTAACATGAGTTTTAGCATCCATCAAGACGTCAAGTGGCTGAGCTCTTTAACTTAACATATGTTTTCAAGATAAGACCACAGTCTAATCACTTGCTCACATTACATTTAGGAAGCATACAAGATGACTCCAGACATGAAATGGAAACGTTCCATTTTTGAAGTACTTTTAAAAGAAAAGTTTGCCACCACTTAGAAAGCTTATTATTTTCAAAAGATTAATAAAATTATTTTCCTAGAACTTCAAGATTGAAAATCCAAATTGTAAATTCTGAGGATACTGCGAGGAACATGAAGGTGAGTGAAGAGAATCATGTCATGAGTCGCAAACAAAGCTTGACTTACATTTCAGCTTCTTTTCTGCCATACAGTAGAAGAATGACTGTGTAAAAAGGTAACAAATACACAGCTTTTTAACTATAAAAACAATCTGAGCTACCTTAAAAATGTGAAAAAAAACCAACAAAACCACCAATCTGATGTCCCAACAGGAAGAAATATAAACATTTCAGCAGGTGTTTTAGATGGTCTGCGTTATTAAACTGGCAGCAGCAAGGAAGAATTCAATATGCATATGTCTTCCTACTGATTTATGCAAGGAATTGCATAATTAAGTTATAATTAATTAATAGAATTAAGAACATAAACTTGTAAAAATCAACCATGCTTCAGGATTTATGCTAAACAAAGTTCCCATCGAAGGCAACTACCATTAACTTCTGTGTACACCCACAACGCCCTGCTCAGAATGCAAGCTTTGAACAAACGGAACACAAGATTGGACAAGTTTCCTACATACAGAATGGAGGAAAATTAAAGAAAGGTCATAGTTTTTTTTTTAAAAAAAGCCTGTATACACATATATCCTTACATCTTATTTTCAGAATATTCTGCTTCAGCTCTCAGAGTGAAAAGCCGCAGGGCAGCCCTACCTCTGCAACAGGTAGAGGTGCCCAGCAACCAGCAGGTGAAGCACCCAGATGCTACAAAACCTTAAAGGGCTTTGAATATTCTGTTCTTTTCAGTACTGTGAAGGGAGAAACAGGGTGAGTGCCAAGAATGGTGATAAACTGCAGTAGTTAGATTAAACATTTATTTTTCATATATTCACAAAATCTTCACAAAAGTATTGAAACTCAAAAAGAAATTAGACTTGAGTCAAATACAGAGATGAAATGTACAAGACAAATGAGCAGGCAAACTAAAAGGTCTTGAAAGTATTTTACTTCAGATTGAAAAATGAACAGTTCAACTGTTCTGTTTAAATAAAGATTTGCAAGATATACAGTATTTTATGAATACAATGCTGGTCATTTGAGGCAATGTAAAATACCTCAATTCTTCCTTCATGCTTTTTTTTTTTTTTTTTTTTTCTTTTAGAAAGATACTGTTTACCAAAAAGAAACTTGAGCAGTCCAGGAAAAGCTATTTTCCATTAAATTTATGAAAACCATAAATTGAGGCAAACCTAAGATTCCCAATGGAATCAAGATTATCTTCCCGCTACCACCACCTTAAAATTATCACATGCTTATTGGAACACTAATATCTGCACCCTAAGAGTACATTTGCTTTCAACAATGAGGGTGATTCTTTTAAAAACACTTCAGTGTGGTAAATGCGATACAGATCTCTGCAGGTACTTAGTTTTGGAACAGTTTTGCTAATAGCAGCTAACAATACTGGATTAATATAATTTATAAATAATTGTTCCCTAAGCGGTGAACATAAGTCTACACATTCACAATAATCTAAAACAAAATAAATACTGTGATTATGCATAATGTGGTATAACTTCTACTAGTTTCTATGAATAAAAGCTCAACGTCCTGTGGATAAAATTATCTGATCAAATTAAAATATGAATCTAATTTCTTTTTTAAATATTGTCAAATTAACATCACTTAAGCTTAGTGTTCGAGTAACTGTTGCGACTTTCCATTCCACTTCTGGAATATATATATATATTCTTTCCTTTTTGAAGTAAAACACTTTAACACATTGAAAATGTTTATTCATTTAAGTGATGACATCAGTTCTGGTCTTATTTGTGCATTTTTTTTTTTTTTACTTTAAAAATCATTGCACTCATTAGTGCCCATCAAAGGTCAGGTTGGTCTGTAGAATTCCACAAACGTATATATATTAAAAAAAGAAAAGCTAACAGTACTTTTTATAAAAGCAACATCTCCAGAACAGCTGCATTAAATACAGCCATGTATGCCGGGTACAGACTTTCCTCTTAAAAGAAACGTGAAAGTAAATGCCACTCAACATTTTACCACTGAAGTGTCCGAGCCCCTTTTCCAAGCGATACCTGCAGTTACACATCTGATTTGCACTCATGGCACCGAGCTTTCTGCAGCCAGGCTCACAACGTGACTGAACCAGACAAATGCGGAGTCTGAATTTAGTGATAATTACTTCAATGAAGAAATACTATGAGATATGAAAGGTTTGGGTTTTTAAGGCAATACAAAATATATTTCTCATTTGATTTTTTTTGTTTTTAATAATTATTAAGTGTAAATACAAAAATGCCTTGGAGGGGAGTGAGAAAAAATACTTTAATTGTAAAATTTACTTAAAGCTTCAACAGTTATCATCTCCTACAGGAGTTAGCAAAAATATAAAAGACAAAAAACAGACCTAGAATGGGGAGGGAAGGCACAAACAAAGAGGCATGGGATCCAAGCAGCCCAGGAATGCAAACGGCCTGTAGCAAACCGAGTTGTTTTGATTTTGTTTTTTAAACTAAGGGGGAAAAAAAAAGGGGAAAAAAAAAATAAAAAAGAATCACCAACACCAACCAACCAGCCCTCCCCAAAGTGGCTTACATCAAAAAAAGAAAAAAAAAAAAAAAAAAGAGGGAGGGAGGACCACTAAGGGGAGGAAGAGAAGGGTGCAACTATAAAACCCCACTGCCCTGAAATGATGGCACTCTAGAAAACAAGGTGAAGGTTACTTCTCCGAGATGACAAGCTCAGTGTCTACACAAAGTACAGCTACACTTTATACAAATGAAACATTTCATTTGTCACCATAAAACTTTCTTCCAGAGGAACAGCTTTTGCAGATCAAATGTTCTATTAAATCTTAATGCCAAGAAAAGAAATTCTGAGCAATATAACTAGTAATGTCTCTTTATATGGATGTTAAGATGACAATTCAGATTATTTTCCAAACTAATCCTGAGAAAAATTTATGTTTACAATTTAAACAGTAATGTTATGTAAAAAGTATTAACAAATCCACTATTACAAATGTCAGTTTTCCTATATGGTCATCTATATATACACAATAAAATGGTAAGTATATGCAAAAATAATAAAAAAATCATGCACAAATTACTTTCACGTTTAAAGGCTGGGTTTCCCTCAAAATACAATTTTTGCCTTTTTATTTTTTTCCTATTTTCTGTGTTTTGTTAACCACCCCCTAGACACACTGAGTACTACCCCTACAGGTCAGCATGAGCTGATGGGAAATACATTTATTTTACATTCAAGCTTTTATATCCTAAATGACCCTGTTGTAGCATATGACTTATCAAATGAGCAGACTTTTTCCTTTTTTTTTTTCCTTTTAAAATTTTTTGTTCTTTTTAATTTTTTTTCTTTTTTTTTTCTATTTTTCTTTTTTTAATTTTTTTTTTATTTTTTATTATTACTTTTTATTTTTGCAGTGATCAATCTTCATGATCCGTTCCGTGGCGAGCTGGGAAAAAAAAATGCAGTTGCTAATCAATGTCCGAACAGTCTGAAGCTCCGGAAGAGATCCAAGGAGTCACTATCAAACTATCCTGTAGCATGAGATCATTGCACACAGAAGAACAGTCATAAAATAGGCAACTATCTACAAAGGTCTGAAAGGGCTGCATCCCTCTTGTGTTTCCTCTTTTTGCCATGGAAATACTGATGGTGTGATTTGCTGCCTTGATGTTGTTTGTTTGTGACTGAGGTACCGTGGCTTGAGTTTGCTGGACCTTGGAAGCCTTTGTTAGAAGAGCGAAATAACCGTGCAGATCCATGCTGTAAAAAGAAAGAGAGCCCAGTAAGTCCGTGGTAAGGAGAAAGTGTGGCAATTACACCAACCTATTTTGGGATAACAAGGACATCAACTCATGAAAATGAGTCCACAAAGGAACTGGCAAGGCAGAAGCTGGGCCATTGAGTGGCAGAGTAAAACCACAAATCTTTCATTTTGTCAGCTGCAAACAAATCTCATCTCTAGATCCAAACCACGCATGTCAAGAGAGTGAAGAATACAGCTCTTTGAATTTTGATAACGACAGAACTGTTCTATCTCACCCACTGTGCAACCCTCAAAAATGTGTTATACAGAAACAGAATTCCATAATCCAAGAAGAGATGAAGACTGCTCAAATCTCATAATCTATGCAAATTAAGACAACATTTCTTTAAGATCAAGACTAATTTTTTTACATCACATCTTTCTGCAGATGTACAATACCTCAGGTTGTGCGTGTTTACCTGCCAGTACCAGAACTGGCTCTGTGCAATAACACAAACATACATGAATGGCTTATCTAAGGCCTGTTTTTTTAAACTGTCTCATTCTTAGCTAGAGAACATCAGCAAACAGGAGGCAGCAAGTCTTCAAATTTACTTTTCAGAAATATTACATTAGATTCCAGACTATTTTTCATTCATTAAAATTGTCTTAAATTCTGAAGAAATAGAAAAATTTGAACTGCATATATTCAGAGATATACTGAATATAGAGGCACATTGTATTTCCAGACTACTGAGCTGTCACCAAAGTATTTTTCAAAAAGAGAAATCCCCTAGTGTATAAGCTGTTAGGTCTCACCATAGAGATATCTGAATTTAAGGGGAAAGGAAAAGGAATTTCATGTGTCAGCAAGCATCTCGATCTCCTTTACTAAAAGGCATTTCAATAAGGATCAACAACTAACGCTGCAGTCAGTCATTGTTTTACATACACATTTTTGCTTACTGTTATTTACTAAAGCATATGCATGTCCCATTATTTCTCATGTTTTGCAGTTAAGAATGGACTGACAAAATTTTTGCAAAAAAAGAGAATTTTTATAACAAAAACATGTACTTCTAACAAGTCTAGACTTCCCAAAATAAAGTCAATCCAACTGTCAGTACGTTTAAGACTGGAAAAAGCACAAAACTAAACTGGACAGAGAACTGGATGACTTAAATGCAAACAATACTCAGTGTTTTTTAGTGGAACAAAGGAGAAAAACACAATATTTTCTTTCCAGAACAAACTATCCTTCCATAGAGGGTATGTGTAACACTCAATCTAGGCAGCTGTAACATTTCAACATTTCACAAACCTGAGATTTGTTCGTGTTGCTGGATGTATTGCCTGTTTGGCTGTTTTGTGTTTTCCCACTTGACTGGGAGGATTCCAGTGATACTTCTTGTGACCCCACTCTGTTTGTTGTAGGCTGGCGACAACTCAATTGCTTAGAGGTTTTGCAAGGTGTTCCATCAGAATCCTTCAAAAAATGTAAAGTATTACTGAGTTTTTCTTAAGAACAAATGTGTTTTTCTTTAAGTGAGTGAGTTTTCCCTTAGAAATAAAGCTAGCAATGGATAAAATTTGAAATGTTGTTTATTCAACTTTCAGTTCAGAATTCTTACTGAGTGAACAGACTGATTTTAAAACATATTGGTGCATGATTCCAGTGTTGGAATCTAATATTTTTCATTTATTATTTTTTAAATAGAATTCTCATTCAAACAGATTTATTTCTAAGATATTTTCTGTTTTTCTTTTTAAGTATACAGATTAGGACTACCAGTCTTTCTAAAAAATATATCCATAAAAAAGGGCTATGTAGCTTTCTATCTACTGCACTGACTTTCTTACATGTGAGGCACCAAAAAACACACTGCAATTTACATGTACAAGAATTGCATAAGAGGGAATATCTTAGGCAAGTTAGAATTCTGGATGGAATATTTAACTCTGCTTCTATGCTTTCCAAATGTGTTCTGTGGCAATACCAATAAAGAAAACACAGTTTAAAATCAAAATGAAGAAAGCTTCCAACTTACTACATCACTAGAGCTGGACAGTGTAGATGATGACGATGATAAGGGACCTGATGAAGAATTTGAAGAATGTTTACTAAGTGTTTCTGAAGTTTTATTTCTAGGTTTTCCCAGTGCTTCATTCTCTTCAGCGAGATTGTTGTTGCATTTGTCTAGTTGCTGATTATCTACTATCAGGGTTACTCCATTACCTATTAAAAATGAGATAGAAGCATCAACATACATTAAGTGACATTAATTATTATTTTTTTCAATATATGTACCCATTCAGGTATTATGTATCTATTCTATCCAGCAGGACACAGACAGACATCTGTCCATCTGTACATACTTTTAATATATACAAGCACATTTGTATGATTGTGTGTATGTAGTCCATGCAGCAAAAATACTTTGCAGAGGCTATGGTGGATTACTGACAAGGTCCATTCTTATACATTATGAGAACAACCAAGCATTACCCACAGTTCAGGATGAAAGAGAGATAAGGCATGGAAGAAGGCAGTTAACAGAGCCCAGATGTGTGGATTAATAGAACTGCTTTACAGCATGCTTAAACAGCACTCTATATTTAGCTTTATTTTAGCTCTAAATACTGTTCCTATGCACTCAGCATTCAGCAACTCCCAGCTGTTTTCTACTGGAGCTGCTAGGGTCATAAGAACTCCAAATAACTCTCATTGGCTTTGTATGACTCCCTCAACTGAAAATACAAGACAAAGAACTCTTATTTCTTAACTTCTACTTTAACAAATAAAAAGAATCAAACTTTAATCTAAACTAAACCTTCCAGGCAAACATTGCAACTGTCACCATTACCTTCCTAATATAAGGTTATTATTACTAAATAATTGCTTTGTCCCACATATCACACCTTGGAGTTACCCCTGCTTCTTCCCCAGTAACTAATATCCACATTAAGGCTGTCAGGCTTTTTTGGACAACTTATACTGAATTGGCTTTCTAATAGATTTACGTAATACACGTTTATTGCACCACTAGCTTTATTTATATACAGCTTCATACGTCTCAAGAGGCAGATAAGTCATGCTACGGAGCTTGCAGGACCAAACTGCGGTTGACTGCCATTGCCAGTGGTACAGCAGTGCCACAGAGATCTACAGAGAGGTAAAACAGAAATGGCCCACTGGGGGCCATTGGGGAAATCACTAAAAATATCTTTAAAAACAAATAAAACCCCAGCCTAGCCTGAAAACCAGTATGTGCATCTTCTCTGATTTAATGGCTAACAGGAGAAGACTTTTGGTAGCTAACGTTCTAAAATTAATTGTAGACTACTATAATTAATTTGAAAATTTCCAGCTAGCACATACACCTACACCCAAAGAGAGTGACAACTTGTTACTGGGCAATGAAAAAAAGATTATTTTAAAATACATTTTTCAGTAAGATCTCTATATAGATCTCATGTGTTTCCATTTGTTAGTAATAACAAAATATCAATCACAATTCTTACTTCTGTTTTAAAGACTTATTTTACTTATACGGTCAATCCTTGTTTAAATACTGCTTCTGCAGGTAGACATTATGTTAAACGTTAAAAATAAAAGATGAACAAAAGGTAAAGATTTGGATTTTAACTAGCATTCCTAGTAGTTATTTTTCAAACACTATCCACAAAGGAAGTGTGACAATAACAACACGTGATTTAAATCTCATGTTTGTCAGGAGCTTAGTTTTGCAAGCCAGCACTGTTTGCAGACCTCCATACTAACCAAATCTAACACTGTAGAATAGTGATGCTATGATATAACCTTTCTTCTGAAGGTTTAAATTTTCTGGGTGAAAACACAAGAAAATCCATCTCCACTTCGCAAATAAACTGATATTAAGATGTATGCATCGCTTTACGTGGAGCAGAAGCAACAGAAAAATGTACATAATCAAAATATACAGGAAGTCTGTCCTGTATGCTTAGTCAAATCTTACCATTACATGAAGACTCAGTCCTACTTTGCATTCCCCACTGCTTTGATATCCAGTCTCTGTAGGTGGCCACTTCTTGTGTTACTCTAATGATTCTACCTAATATACTGTAAACCAGGAGAAAAGAAGAAAACTCCAAACAATTAATTTTAGGTACACAAGAACATAAGCAATTAATGTCTGAGATTTAGACTCATAAAATTTACCTTTCAGTTTCGTTGTTGGGATAATATTTAGCTATTGGGGAAACTGCATGGCTCAAAACAACATAGGCATAATCAAAAGCCTGTTTCACTTGCATGGCACCATATGAACTCCTCCCAACATCATTACCTTAAAATAAGAATATAAATAAATATATGAAACTGAAACCATGATTATCTGCTTTCTGACAGGGGACAGTTATGTTGTTTTGTTTTTGTTTTTAACTGTCCTTAAGTTCCATCTCACTACAGTTAAACTTTTACAATACAAGACTACTAGTGAAGCCTAAACATATGACAGAGTTTATGAAACCTATAAATATTTACACGTATGGAAGTCGAAAAGGGTAAAAGTTCAATACAGGAAGAAAAATACAAATAGAAATAAAAATCATGTACTGCATGTATTACAAATGTAACAGTACTATCCTGGGCGACAGTTAGATTGGAAGAACATACACTTTTTTCTAAAACTACTTCATTTACTATTTCAGAATCCAACATTCATGTTAACAACTGAATTTAACAGAAAAGTAACAAGACAGAATACAATTGCTGTGTTTACAGAATCACAGAGTGGGGGTTGGACTAGATGATCACCACAGGTCCTTTCCAAGCCCTACAATTCTGTGATTCTGTGAATGAGAAGAGTGGGCATAAGCATATGTTGTAAAGCACAAAGGTGCAACCGCGACAGAGGCAGGCACAGGCTTGGAAGGGACATACGCACACACAGCCAGCCCATATTCATCTGCATTGCTGCATAGCTGTCACAACTCTTGAGGACTGTAAAGTTGTTTGGTACGCCTTCTTATATCCAAATTTCATGACAGCAGCATAGGCACACTCTTGGATGGCAAGATAGCATTTGCTAGGAACATTTTAAATAAATAAATAAATAAAATCACAACATTCGGAGCCCATCTCGTGTTCTCAGACACGAACAAGGCACTTCTTTGATTTTTGGTGGTCACTACACTATTCCTTGGTTTAACTCTCGAATTTAGCACTCTCTTTGTCAACAAAGAAAAGCATGGCTTGTGAGGATACCTGGCTGTAACGGATCTTCAATATACAGCATTGATGGTCTATAGCCATCTAGCATGCTTTTTTGCACTTCGTCTTTGGCAACGTAAGAGCCGCCATCCTTTATTCGGATTCCAGTCTTCAGATAATTGAAGTGACGTCCATATAATTCAAAAAACTCTATTAAAAGAACACCATAGTTGGCATTGGGTGTGCAGGCATCTTCTCTGGGATGCAGCTATTAAGAAGAGAAGAAAAAAAAACTTTCCTTAATACTTCAAGTGTCTGTAAGTCCTCTTCTGTTTACCTTTATATTCTTTTCTAATTCAAGGCAAGCACATTGAAATATAATAAGTAATACATAATTATAAAGCAAACATACCTGCATGTAGTAACTATTCTTGATAAAGCTGTCCTGCCTCTTTGAAACAAGACATAATCAAAGCTTTTATAAACTCATTACCTCTGTACAATAAGGCTGGCAAGTATTTCTGCCTCTATATTTGAATTTTAAATGTGTTTCTAACATTAATATACTTTGTATTTGAACTTTCAGTTCAGTAAGTCAACTTCAGTGCCAATGGCAGAGTTCACATACACACACACACACAAAAAAAATGCTCCAGAATCAATTTGATCTTCAAAAACAGGATTTCAATCTGCAAAGCTATATAAATTAACCCCCTTACCATTAAGCACACAGTCTAAGAAATTACAAATTGGTTTTGTAATTGATATAAAACTTGACTGGATCAGTTTTTGCAAGTGGAGATGCCACTAGTTACAATTTAAAAAAAAAAAAAAAAAGGGAATGGGTATGGGAAAGGTTTGGGTTTGTTTCAAAAACATATGCCTGTTATGTTCATTTCTTTTCTGCTCAGCTGTCAACTGAAAATTGCACTGAGCAAACACTGATCTCCAGTTCAAGGGTCAGGGTTAAAAGTAACTACAATGTGAAAAAGTACAAATATACACACAGACAGTGTATACACACAGTTAAACAAGATTAAATAGAAGAAAATAAAATAAGGCTAAAAGAGAGAAATTGCTACTTTGTACTTCTGCAGTGTTTTCTCAGCCTGAAATAACAAAATAGATTTAGCTTATGAATTCTGTTCTCTAATATTTAACAGAAAGTAAAATCTTTATTCTATACCAGGTTAAAAACCTAAACAAGCAAATAAAATTCTATTGTATTCATTTAACCACATACAGACGTATGATCTGGAAACCAAGTGTTATAAAGAACAGCTGTATCTAACACTAACAGTAGCATGCTCAAGACCTGATCAATACACTAATGCATGTTCCAAACATCTCCTCTAATTGCAGAAGCAGCAGTATGGAAGACAGAATAGAAGACAGGTGTGGTATGACTATTTGTAAATGAAAAGGGGATGCAAAACCACAAACAAAAGGGACTAAATTATTAAGTTTAACAATTAAACCACATAATATATGCCCATTAGCACCAACAGTAATAGATTTCATTAAGCTTACCTGAAGAAAACTGACAGCCATTAAAAAAAGACTATAAGAACCAATTCCACCTGTGAATACTTCATTAAGGTCCCTCTGCAACAGGAACTGTTTCAATACTAAAACTAGATATGGTAATACAGGATATTTCTGAAAAAGAAGAATAAAAGTGTTAGGATCCCCTGATGCATATAAACAATTGATGCTAAAAAGCCTCACATATACAAATTTTAGGAGGAAGGTTTTTGTAAGCACACACAGACAGTACTAGACAGACAAGTACTCAAGGCTATTATGCCAAAACTGAGCAAAGAATGAAGACTTTTTTTCTCCTATAAAAATTCTATAGGTTGAAGTAGAAGACAGTGTAGAAGCAAAGTGAGTTACTTTCATACTTACTACTATACATACATAAAAGAATCAAAGATTAACAAGTTCAAGTCCATATATCTAGCTCATCAGCAACTGAGAAAATCCCCCAATACTTGGAAGTTACCTTGCAACTCAATAGCATTATCAAGACAGATGTACATTATTTCCAATCATTTTGATTTAAAGTGCTTGCTTTACTCAGACTTACAGATTTTCCTGAAGGAGTTTTGCTTGTCTAACTATTGAAATATTTTTTCTTGTTGTTAGTTAGGCAAAAAACAAAACAAAGCACTTAGCAGTAGAAAACCAATGCCATATCACCAAAATGAGACTACACTTCATATCCTTACACAGAACATGAAAATCCAAGTAACATTTTCTACTATTTTCATAAAAGATCTACCACAAGTGTCCAATACACTGAATAGGAAAAAAGTATATAAAGGTACTGTAATATATCCAGATTCTGTAATACATCCAATATACAGAGAAAAAAACCAAAAGGTGATAGTATCTATGAGACAGCTATCAGGGAATTCCTGAACAATAACTTGCTGTGTCTAACTTAATCAGCATTTGTATACTGAAACAATATTCAATCTAGAACAAGATAATTCCTACCTGAGCACTACTGATTTCATGTTCATGGAACCACATTTAAAAGGGCAGAACATTCAAAGTCAGTATTAGTGCATTTTCATTAGTCATTGTATCACTGTATCACTGTAACATTTCCATATGTATTCTCTTTGTACATTTTTACTCCTTTCAGGTCTTTGATGGCAATAAACATAAGAATTACACGCAGTACTACCAGACAACAAAAACTAACTGTGAATGCATATCTGCAGTAAGGATGCGGGTCAAAGTAAAACAGAATCAAATTAAGTCATCACATGAATATAGAGCTCAATAGCTCTATCACAGTATTGCCTAACCTTGATAAAATCTTTGATGAGCTGTGCTGCTTTAACCCCATTCTGTACATTAAAACTGATATCAACTTTTACTTCCGTGAAGGAATCTGTCAGTTTAATAATAGGTACCTGCAAAAGAAAGACAGATTAAGTCAACACACGTTTGTGGTCATTCTTAATGATATGCATCAATAAAACCGACATCACAGAGAAGGCAAATAGAAAAAACAGGTCTCCTAACTAGTTATGAACACACTCTGCCTATCTGTTCAAATTTTTCTTAACTCAGATATATTGTTTTCAGTTTACCATACTGTTTTAACAAAACATAACACTTTGGTTTCAATGTTATTTATTTTACATTGGTTTTAGTCAGTTTCTGATGTAGCACAGTTCTAGCAGGAGAAACAAACACCAGAGGGAGACAAACGTCTAAGAAATATATGATAACAGACATACTCCTAAGAAAACAGATTCCTCAGCAACATTATCTTTAAACAAGAAGCAGAAGGTATTGAGAGCACTCTATTGCATCTCCACCTGCATGGTTTCCAAATTATGTCTTTCACTAATGACAGCAATCAGACACCTGCTTAAACTTCAACACCCTTAACACAGTCTTACAACAAGCAAAAGGGAGGAAGTCAGAATAGAATTAATCCCATCCTGCACAAGAAATACCATTAAACATTTATGCAATACTTATACTGTACTTATACTGTACTATCCATACAGAATTTCATAATTCTATATGAAAGCATATTATGTCTGCTTACTGGCAATAAAAAATACATATATTTCTCTTACTTATGTACAAACTCTGTCCAGAAACTTACAAGTTTGATCACATTAATTCACCTCAATGACTGGCAATAACCACACTTGAAAGCAAGCATATGCTGTGCTGCGTGAAAACCCCAAAGACTTTTTACCAATTGAAGAAATGTTTCTTTTGGAACACCATCAATTATTTTGTCAGAAATAAAATCATCATTAAATAAAAAGGTTCTATTTTGAATGCATATGTGAAGTAGCTTCTGCTTATGAGTATTTATCCTTGTAACAACGATCTTCCTTAGTCTAGAAATTTAGCTTAAAAATGGGAACACCCTCCTTTCCCAAACTTACAGTTGCTTTATCTAAAACCTTTACTGAGTTTTCATCTGCTACATTGTGCTTTCTAAGAGCTTCTTCCAGGGTCCAAAGAGGTAACGTCTCCCATTTTCCAAACACAACTAAGTCAATATCGCTGAAATGAAAAGAAAACATAGACATATTCAAATTAAAAGACCAATACAGCAAAAAGACAGACAATTGATATCCACATGTAACTAGAAGTAAGCTGATGGAATGCAGCTTAGCCAAATAATTTATTCTTTATATTCTTTGGAAAGGGGTGGGGGTGAACTGTTACGCTTGGGAAGATAAAGAACATTTCAGATTACCAAGAGCAGAGGACTGACACACACACAAATCAACTTGCCAAAGTCAGACACGAGTCTCCTAACATCACACAGTCAGCAGAGAAGGATCAGCTTCACCAGAGCAATTCAGAGCAAGAAGGTAAATAATTGTGAATCATACATGGGCTGTATTCATCATTAAGGTCAATTTAACAGCTAGTCACTGAAAGGGAAAGCCCTGCTCCCCATGTTCCTCTCCCAGATGCACAGTCCTGTCCTCTTTACTCCAAGTCTGGTATTTGCCTAATTTACAGCAAATCAATTCATATACTAATGAGCCTGGCAGAAACTGATACCCACTCAGCCCCCCTCCCTCCACATGCAAAAAAAAACCAACCAACCAAACAAAACAACAACCCACACTCTGGGGGTAATTTCCTGTCTCCTCACAACTCAAAGGTTGTTTTCCAGATGATCCAAGCACCAAAGTGGGTGCGTGGTAAGCAGCTGGCATGTAATGCTAACAACAGGGAGCAGGGAAGGAGAAGGAAAAACGTGGCAACTTTTCAGGATGCAACAAGCTGTTAAATAAGATCAAACCTTCTAATTAACTTCACTCATTAACTCAGCTCCTTGAAGAAGTATCTCCATCCCTCTACACTTCCCGCCAACACACACTGACGTTCATTTAGCCATGCAGGGAGCTGAAACCCTAATTACTCTTTTTCCTCTTTGCTTCTCAACCTTTTTCTTAATTTCGTATGCAAAGAAGGCAGGTGTATAAACCTATAGTTACGTATAGCTAAGGTCACTTCAGGAATATGGAGAACTGCATAACAGAATACAGTAAAAAAAAAAACCAACAAAAGTAATATCACTACCCATACCATTCCTCCTTCCACTCCACATAGGTTTCATAGGTTTGCTCATTCACAAATAAGATGCTTTAACATTCTCAAGGCATTCAAAGAAACCACATCTGCCCTAGATGAAACATCCCTTGACAACAACTAATGTCAGCAACAGGTAAGTTCAGCACCAGTTCAACTGCATACCATTTAGCTGACAAGGACAGGCAGCATTCAGCACGTTTTCAAAAACCATGTTTAAACCTGCTTGGAGAGCAGGAAATGGTGCTGAACACTTCTCTTCTAATTACTTTAACTAAACTAGTGTTTAACACACTAGTGGTGATGATGGTGGCAGTAGGAGACGTCTTATGTACACTAAGAAAGAAAAGGCAGCCCTCTCATCACTCTGAGGAAACATACTACCTGCAAGATAATACAAAGACCCAGCAGCAGAACAATCACCTAAACTGATACTGAAGATTTTGTATAAATAATGGATATTAGAGAAATTCTAACACAGAGTAACAGAATTAAAAACACACTCCACCAAAAACTCAGTTGAAACCAATATGGAGAAAACAAAGCATATGGAATCAAGTAGAAAACAACAAATCTTTTTCTGTTATTCCATAAACTTCAAAACATTCAAGCAAATACAGTACAGAACTACAGCTATTAGTCATGTGGATAGGAATCTCTTGCATTACTAGTGTACAATCAAGTTTAATTAAGTCCATTTAAAATCTATGTAGAAAAGGCCAAGAATGAGGCCAAGCGTAAAAACAATACATATTTGTAGGCCTTCTAACTTTTTAAACAAAAAAGGACCAATTCAGGTTTTCTGCAACTATTTAGACTAAAACAGTTCACGTAGTAACCCTCATGATTCTGACATCAGAAGATGCGATGACTCAGGTATCACTCACAGTAAGTACTGGATATTAATTGCTCGTGTTCCTAAAGAATATTTTGGAATATCTACAGAACCGAATTAAAATGTTAATCTCAGACTTATGCTACATAAACGTCTTTATTTCCTGCAGCCACTTAAGCCTTTCATTCTATTTAATTGCCAAAAATACTTATAAATTTCTATACAGAAGACAATAAAATCACAGAGCAATGACTTTTCTTTATGAAAACTAGTAACAGATTTTGAAAAGGTAGAGGTTAACTACTATACAGATTTCACAAAAGAAGACAAAGGAAAAGAAACAGTACAGCATTGATTTTTTTCTTTTTAATCTTCAATGCTAACGTTATTAAGGTAGCCCTACATGTTTTCATCTCTAGATGATGAAATTTGGCTTTTCTATAAGGTTGACTTCTTATTTTGGTTCTTTGGTTTCACAAAGAAAAGAAAACTGTGATTTTATTTTTTTTTTAAACAGTGTAGTAATTCAGATTTTTACTGATAATGTGAAGCCTATATAGATGTATTACAGTTAGTAGAACTAATTACTGTATTTCTGCACATTCTGCAGAGTATTAATAGCACAACCCTTTCTTAGTATAAGAAGTGTATGGACATACATGCACAAGTAACAGATACGGGGATATTGGATAAAGCACTACAGGGGCACAGATTCCACAGGATATCTTTTTTCCTGTATGAAATTTATACAAAATTATACAAAATTACTAACCTTGTAGGCAAATATAAACCAGTTTTAAAACTTCCAAATATCTGCACCTGGAACACAAGAACAGTGCGTAAGAAATCAGATTTGCAGGTTTCAGAAGACAAACAAGTTTTCTTCAGTTGCTGATAAAGGATGATTACTGCTACCCTCCATTGGCAGAATTTGGTATTGCTAGCAGGTACGTTATGAAAGAAAGCACTCTTTTCTGTCAAAGCATTTACATATCTAACATAGTATAAATAGTTAATTATTATCTAAGTACAGATAACGTTAACAACTTCAACTTTTCTCCTACTAAACTTTTTCTGTAATGTCAGAATTTTTACTGTAACCAAGTTTGGCAAAAGCCATAAACCAGGTGACTTTAAACACTGATGACTGACAGAACACACACGCACAAAAGACAACACACAAAAAAAGTTAGATCAACTCTGTTTTTGTTCTGCTTTTAAACACATTTTCAGAATTTAGCTTTATATACTTCTGTTGCTTTGCATACTTAAAAAAAATAAAAAATTTAAACTCAGTAGTTTTTGTTGTTGTTGTTGTTTTTTTTTCCTGAATTACAGGTAGCACAACTCTCTCCTAAAACAACAACAAAATAGCTTCAAATTGTCACATGATCATGAAGATTCAGTTCATTGTGCTGGATTTTTATAAGCACTGGAAATTTAAAACATTGTGTATGTATTTCAAGCTGGCCGAAGCCTCAATCTCTTTAATGTACCCATGCCTCACTGGGAGGTCAGACTCAAAATCCAAGTCCCAGAGGGGACTGAGGAGACTTCAAAGGAAAGTTATCTACACATTTGGACTAATTTTAAACTAAGGTTTCCTGGAGCCACCTTACAGTTGCATATTCTGCTTTAATGAGTCTCACGAACTAGCTTGATTTCCACCTATGTATATGTCAAGTGACCCACTTTTCATATTTTTTCCCTTTGGGATAAGAAAAGAGGGAGACAGGAAAAGAAGATGTTCTGTAAATAAGTGCTTTTACACTTTAAAAGGCTGAGAAGCAGAACACAAATTCTTCCTCTTGATTATTTTGCATCACCTCACTCTTTAACCTTTCTCACTCCAACAAAAACCACACAACTGCAGTAAACTTAATGTTCAAAGTCCATAGCTGCTCACACTACAAAAGATTGCAAGAGATGTTACTGCACTAATATCAATATTTTACTAGATCTTGACAAAAGTAGAAAGACAAGACATAATAAAGATAGGAATGCAATAAAAAATAAAAATAATTTTAAACTTATGATGATAATAACAAAAAAAAGCACTCTCTATCAAACTATAAATCCTGATTTGGGTCCAGCCAAATCAGGATTTATTCCACCACTAAAAAAGTCTGAAAAGTACTTTTCCATAATAAAGCAAACACCGTGGATGGGTTAAGAAAGTCCAAATATGATTTCACATTACTAAACAAAGGAGTGTGTTCCACTCAACAGCAAAGAAAGCCCTTATTGAATAAACAACCCTGAAAATATTCATAAACTTACTGATACAACATATATGACCTTTGCTGAAAGGAATGAGAGAACATCTGCTATTGTACAATAATTTGGAGTATGAGAAACTGAATTATTATAAAAGAAACCCACACCCACACTCCAATCCCTCTCTTATCCATCAAAACTACAGAGATGGAAGAGTGGGGAAATCAGAACAGATATTTTAAAAGATTTAGATTTATTATCAAAGTAGAATTTAATCCATAGTAGTTGTGTAGCCATTTTCACATTAAAAACATCCCAAATGCAGGATACTATTATGAGAGCTGTGCTGGTTTTCACACTGTGCCAATACTGTTCACTTTATTTTTATTCTGTGTAGACAGAAGCAAGAATACGCATTCATAAGACAGCATTTCATAGTACTGCAATGGACTCCTACTGCTGTCAGTATTTATCTCCATAAACTTGTTCGAGTTAAATTCCAGAGTTTCTGAAGGAGCTTTAAGAATGGTACGTATCCAAATATGTCCTCACTATGCAGAACAGAACATGGAAACCCACAAAACACTGGGAAGTCTGTCCTATCAAAATCCCCACATCAGGACAAAGAACAGATCTATCCCTAGCCAATTTAAATTCCTCTTTCTGCTACATCATTAAGTTAAAATATGAATTTTCTGAAGTCTATAAACAGTCCTACTATTTCCAATCGTAGTATTTTTATAACTGAAGTGCATGAAGTACACAACACTACCTCAGTGAGTCCACACACTCACATATAAAACTGAGGGCATTATGACAAATGCATCCTAAACTCCATTGAAGTACTCGTTCAATACTCAGCTTTTCAGATTCAACTACTCAAAAACTGTTGTGCCTTCATTAAATGCCTTCATTTAATGTTTTGAGTTGTTCAGTTCCAGTGTAATTAAAGCCTTTCTTATGGTCAGAGCATTGCCAATGCCAAGAACAGTTCTCACTTACTAGGAATGTTTCCTTCTAAGCACATTCCCTTGAGTAAGAGAGCAAATGACACAATTGCTAACTTCTATAAATAAAGTAACAGTTTAGGATACCTAGTTTTACCCCTCTTCATCTGCTTTTTCAGCCTCTTCTGACATGAAACAGGAAAATGAAAAAAACAGAAGTGCACACACATTCCACACCATCTCTAAACAATTAGATTCATGAAGCCTGATTTTACTTCCCGTGGTATCAGATTTTTACAACATACGCAAAGCTGAATGTGTATGTTTAACTTGAAAGTTTATTTTAGCTGGATTTGCTGCATCTATCAGTCAAAACGAACAGCTTAAACATTAACTAATCACTTTACACTACAGCTACAGCAGAGGACATTGGACCAGATACTACTCCACCTTCTCAGAGCATGTACTCAGTACTCAAATTTTGGAGGTACTAAAGCAGTAAGATTTTCAAAAGTTTAGTGATTAACTGAAAAGACTGGAAAATGACAGATGGCTGTCAAAGTTAAAACAGTCGAGTTCAGTGGTTAGTTCCCAAGCAGGTCTGTAAAGTATTAGAAAAATGACATTATTGTAATTGCCAGGTTATAAGCTGGCACAATTCCAGTTCTTAAAAAGATTATGGCTTCAAAAAACCAATAATAGTATGTTAGATAGATTAAAAATATTTTCTCAATGGCCCAAAGTCATATATTTAATAAATAAATAAATAAAAGATCTAGCTTCCACAGGTTAAGTCTGTCCTACAAATGGTTACAACACCTTGGAAAGCAGTAAATTCTGGTGTACCGTTCAAAAATCCAGCAGTAACAAAGAAAGATCCCCAAGTAATAAATCCACTCACCCCATTAAGCTAGTAAGCCTACAGCACATAAACTTGTCTGGACAACAGTGGCATCTTTCCTAGGCTGAAAATAATGTGCTTTCTCGGTGAAATCCACCACTACAAGACTTTGGTAAGGTGCATCAGAGTAAGAACTGTTCAAGGTCAGCACTGTTTCTTGTCACAGTGGCACCCCACCACTCCTGCTCTTGAACAGGGTCTACCTCCTTGTTTCCTCACTGTTTCTGGAGAGCTACACAACACCCCTGAGATATACTGAAGTCTGGCACAGTTCCATTAGAAAAATTACTGCTTTTTCCTCAAAGAGAAAATTACCCAATGTGACTGCACAGATCCCCTGAAATTCTGTGACGAAGGCTTTGACTGATGGGATTCAGTCAAGAGACTGATGTGCTCTTTCCACATTACATATATACACATCACTAACATGCTGTCTGTAACATGTGAACTACCTTGAAGACAGTCGTGTATTTTACACATTAAAACAAACACATACACATAGCTCATACTGAATTCCAGTAGTCATTCTCCAATCTCTAAAAACACTTCCCAAAAAACCAAAAATGTTAGGAAGATCTGAAATGAATAGCAGGTTAAAGTCACTCATGTCATAACATTACCTTCTACTGTGGCAGGATCAAAGTGCATTCCTAAAACTAAAGATTTTGCTGTCTGAATTTGGTTTGTTGTTCTGGCTAACAAGTCTTTATTTTCAGCTACTGTTATCTATATTTATCCGTAGATAAATGACTAAGGCTACAAATCTGCATTCTGGAAATGAACACCATGTTAGTAGAGACAATTATGCTCAAAACCCAACAGTGTCTCCATAAAAATTTCTTGAGATGTAAAAGCAGCTTTTCTACTTTCTCTTCAACCCATCATTTATTATAAACAAAACAAACCATAAATACACAGCTCATAAATACAGAGAAGAAACTTGCTTCAGCTGAACAAAGCACTGGCAGAAACCTACCTTCAGTGGAAAGTGGCATTAGAGATTTAAAGCTCAATATATAGTGAAAAGATCTGCAGAGTTTTTTTTTTGTTTTTTTTTTTTTTTTCCTCTACAGAAACCTGGATAATTTACATTTTAAGATATTTCAATTCAGTTTAACTGCCCATTATGGCCTGCATAGCATGGCATTCTCAGCATTCCACTTGTACAGTATAAGCATGTCTGCCTGCCTGATAAATTTACCTTCATCTTAATAATTATTAATGAGATTAAACATTACCTTGCCATACTTTACGTCTTTTCTTTGACTACAGGTCTAGCGTGTCTTTGTTCTTTTTTGTTCTCATGCGTGATATAAAATGTTGACCTACATTACCATAGAAATAAACATCACCTCTCTTATTTGACTAGAAAGCTTTATTTATTTATTTTTAAACAGGAGAATAAACAGAGTTTTCACTATTCAGAACTTCAAAGACTAAACAGGCACAAAATGTTGTCTTTTATATTTTAATAAACAGAACAGTGTCCTACTCACATCTGCGTTAGGCCAGAGTTCCTTTATAACGTTTTCTATCCTGTTCACCACTTCCATTCGCATTCTCTCTTCTTCATGTCTGGGAGACATATACTTATAAAAGTCAATGATTTCTTCATGAAGACTGGAAGAAAAAAAACAAAACAAAAACTCCTAGTTAAGGACCAGTCTATGAGCATCACACAATAAAAAAAAAAAAAAAAAAAATCTAGATTCGCAACACTTAGCAAGATTTAGTTTCCCATTAGTTTCCCTACATTAACTTGCACCATAGGTATGGAAGCAATTCTAAGCCAAAGTACCTTCACATTAGAAGTTGCACTGTGAAAAGTCAACATTATACAGAACATTTCAGTCTTCAACTAAGAATGCAGCTGTAAGCTCCAAGCACACCCAGCTCAAAAGCTCCAAGAAGAGGTTTTCAGCCAGCACTTCCCAGTCTGCCCCTGGCACCAGCAAGGGAGTTCCAGGCATCAGGCTACATCCAGCCCCAAGCTTTCGAAAAAGTTTATAGTAATTGTGCCAGTACTAGAGCGAGAAAAACTGCTTCTTTTACTGTTTAGACAGGACACAAACTGAATATGCATTCTCTCCCCGTAACAAGAAAGTAAGTAGTACACACACAGCAGCTGTGGCTCAGAAACTGCCTGACAAGCAGACAACCAACTTGGCAGATGTGAGTTACCGTGTTACATGTGCTGCTCGCAGTCAGCAAGCTACATTTACACTGCCTTTACTGGAGCTGCAATAACAAAGTCTTCACACAGTGCCACCAATGTGGAGAGTTCTGTAGTATCATACACACATCATCAGCTTGACTAACATCATATTCAAAAAAGCAGACACAAAAAAACCCTTAATTCCAGCAAAATACAGAGGAGCTCTGGCACAGAGTAGTGAAATTAATTTCATTTGTTCCCTGTAATGATCATTACAGTAACAGCTATTTTATTTAAATGTATTGTTTCTAGTTTCCAAGTAAACACACATCCTCCCTTCAAGCTCCAAGGGATCACCAAAAAGGAGTAATTCACAGAAGCACATCCTTAGATCAGACACACGATCCAACACTTCCACACTGCACACATTTAAATAAATCCCACGTTGATGACTGCAAGTTGTACAAAAGCGTCAAAAAAACAGACTGAAACATCTGAAGGGTGTATTTGACAGAGTCAGAGTATGGACAGAACCCAGTCCATGACTTATCTTGCATTCTTCAGCACTGCGTGTTACAAACAACAAAAGCTTCTTTCTGCAAGAGATCAAGGAATGAAATATCTATGTTACTTTTTACCGAGCATTTATTGGAATTACATCCAACCTCTGCAAGACAACTGTGCCAACAGCCTATTAGCCTGGGATGGCATCCCACCTGGGATGGCTAATGCAAAGAGAAGAACGCCTCTGAAAAAGCTCCTCACGGGGATATAGCCAGGTCACCCTCAGAGAGAACCTCGCCAGGGCCTCAAGCCCAGACTTGGGGCAGCCTGATACACCCACAGCGCCACTTGGCCCACAGCGATGTTTTTAACAAGGCAGAACCAAGCGTGCACTGCTGTCAGACGGCACGACGGCACAGGCCCAGCACGAGATAAAACCGAGGGACCTGGGGAGACATGGAGGTGCTGCACAGCACAACCTTTCTGCCAGCTGCTGGTGGCCCTGGCTGCTCCCAGGCTTCCAGGGCCGAGCTGTTCCCTCAGCCCAACTTCAGGAAACACCGCCACCAGGAGTTTAAATCCATGAAGCCAAAAGAGGTCTGTGCCATGCAAACACTGCAGGTCTCAGTACCTGCTCCATTAATGCACCCACACAACGTCCCTATTGAGATAAATACATCAGTTGGTGCATCCCTTGGAAGCATGTAACTACTAAGGTGCTATACATAAATATCATGCATTCCTATCTGGATTGCATCTGGATTGCTCTTATCCTTAGGTAGCTGTGCAAGTTTTTATGGTGAAGAGAAGAAATTAAGCACGACACAAACAGACACATCATACCTGCACTGAACACTGCTACACAACCTAGACACAGCAAGAATGAAATGGGAACTCTGTCAGTGATAGAAGATTGGCTTTAAGAGTACTAGAGGCAGCCCTCAGCGTGCCAGGTGGAAACCTGCCGAGCCCCAGGAGCACCATGCTGCAGAGTGCAGCCCTCAGCTCCACCTGGAACTGCACTTCCCTGCCCACTGCAACTGCTGCCAACAAGTGAGAGAATGATTAATCAAAGACAAGATAAGCAGAAGCAGCAACATGCAGATTTCAGAACAAAACAGCATGACTTGGTAGCGTGACTCCAATTAATGCAGAGTTAACTCGAGTTGTATTGAAAATTAAAACCCAAGGTTATTCACTGTCTTAATCAACATCTATAGCTGCAGTTTTTCGAAACAATTTGTTGAGATTAATGGAGCCTGTTGTCTAAAGTCTCTAGTGGAATTTTATATCTTCAGCTGAAATGAAGATCAAAGAGACCAAGAAGTTATTTTTGGCATCATAACAGTATTTTGTTATTGAATGCCACTACATTCATTAGCTATTTAAGATAAAAGTCCTTAAAAGGAGGCTTGTTTTTAAAAGGAAATTACGCTGTAATAAACCTGATGACAGCACACAGGGCTATTTTACTTGGCTTTAGAGTCACACTGAAGCTATCAACACCCTACAGCTACTTAGGATGCATGAGGAGAGTACTCTGCAATGCATAAGAGCATTAGTTTACTTTATTACAGTAAATAGCCATAAATAAGTGTGTCTTTGTCCTGTATCCAAGGAAGTCTTAACATGTGGGGAGAAAAAAAAAAACAACCTTACAGTTGCTCTGAGTTTGCCTTAAAACCAAGTACCAGCTGTGTTTTGTCCCGCTTTCAAACCACGTTAAGATGAGCTCACTACAGTTTTACAGACCAAACAGAGCCAAAGTTACAGAAAACAGATGCCACGAATACAGTGGATTGCAGTGTTTGTTATGTTTACCTGACAGTGACAAAGACACATCATTAAAAAGTAAATGATGGTCACAAAAGTTGTAATGACAAAAAGGACATCACACTGCAACAGCATTGTGAGGAACACAAAGCCTGGTAGACTCGCACCAATAAGGCAGAAAGCTGTGAGTAATAGGGAATGCAGGACCTTCCATCTCTTCATTTGATTACACCTTACTTTCTTCTGTGGTACAACTTGTGGGCTATAAGAGCACTACTCAAGGTTCTCCAACTACGTGACCAAGATGCTGTTATTCTGGAGGATGAACCTTAGCACACCTTTGCCAGTCAATTAAAAGCAGTCATGGACAAACAAAATGTGATTTCTGCTTGAAATGCTCTGCACACAGACACAAACTCAGTTGCCTGATGTATGAAGCAGCACAACTCACTCTGACAGGTTCGAAACCGGGCCCAGGAGAGCAACCTATAGCCATGCTGCCCCATGAAACTGGAGACACGCTGGTGCAGACCAAATGCTGAGAAGCAAGCTGCCGTATTACTAAGCAGAGCAGTGTGACAAAGATAATAACAACAGAATAGCAGCTGTGTTGCCATTGTGTGCTAAAGTACAGTTCTATGCTAACCAAAGAAACCAGCTGTAATTGAAAATTTCCTGCTTTTGTCATTTTAGAATTGTGCTATAAATCCATTTGCTCTGGCTCTTCTTCACCTTTCAATTCACAACAGAAATTACACAGGCACACGTGTTTTAATTAACCTGGCAAGGGTGTTACCCACAGCTTCTGATCCAGAATTTCCTAGTGCTCATGTACTACAATTTATTCTACAGGACATTCTGAAGGAAGCTCCATTTTCAAAGTGATGAAAATTTAAATTAGTAAGAACCTCTGTGGACTCTGGGCAGAAGCAAGCAATGAGCACACAACTTCTCCCCAAACTCCATGCTTTAAGATGAATCACTTCTGATTTCAGAGCTTATTGATTTTATATCCACACCTGGATGGGATACTTACAGTGTACTTCTGTATCACTGAACAAGTCTTTATACCTGAATTTTCTTTGGCTGAATCATTCCATCTTAGTTGCCCACACCATTTTACATCTACTCTGGAGAAAAAGAAAACAATACAGATGCATCCACCCCTCCACTCCAGTTAGGAAGGCCAGGATTCCACAGGAGGAGAGAGAACAACTTTGGTTTGAAGCTTCCCAGGATACTTGACTATGAAAAAGACAGTACTGTTTCTGTGACTATAAAACAAACAAACAGGATTATGGCAGAAATTTCTGATCCTTTAGAAGTTTCGGGAGCCAAACAAAGCTTGTCCATCTCCCATTTGTGAGCTGTTCGGTCCTGAAGGGACTTTGAACAAAACTGAGGCACAGGAAAAGCACTGGGAGCCCAAACCCCTCCCTCCTCCAGTATTTTTAAATACAGAAGTAACACTGCACTCTCTAGCAGCATCCCAAATTCACTTTTCAGTTTTAATGCTCATAATTTAAAAAAATTATTTCTAGATTATTATCACCATCTTCATGTATTCAGTAACAAAGCAGGACAGAGCAGACAACACGAAGACCACAGATCATTTTGCCTACCTTCAATCTTAAGCAAAACCAAGCATTAGAGCAACAAAGGGAGCAGTAATACACAGCATCTGCTGAGCTCCTGCCCCTACCACCTGCATCTCTGCAGCATACTAATTCTTTTAGTGTGTGCTAGGTTTTAAGCTACTGAAATAACAACTAAGTGCATCTGCAGGTGATTTAACAGGCAATTAAGCTTCATGACAACAAGTAGAATCGGTCCTCATAAGAAACTAAAATTGCACTGAACAAAGTAAACAACTTTCAAAAGCCACAGAGACTTTGGCCATCGCTTTTCACCCTCAATCACTGAACCACATCAATGTACTACAGGTCACACAGTAACCAGATTTTGCGGCCACGCATGCCCTATGGGAACTTCAAAATGAAAAATCCCCAAAGATTTCCCTGTTAGTAAGGTAACAGATTAGGAAAGTGTAAGGAGGTGTGACCGGGCTGCTGAGAGCTGTGCTGCTGGGACAGGCAGTGCTCAGCATTCATCCACCAACAGACCAGCACCCCCAGCCTGCAGAGTGAGTCACAGAACTGCCTTTTCACACTGAAGGCAGGCAATGTTTTCCCAAATAAGTAAGTAAGGCAGGAGCCCAGACCCTGCTTTCAGGACCAATGTGTTTCAACATTCATCTAAATACTCTGATGTTAAATTTGAAAACATTTCCCTGAATGGAGCTTGTTCACTTTGAAAAGTCATGGTTGACTGATCATCACATTTCTTCAAATGCAGTGGAACAAAGAGAGATGCCACAAAAAATTACAAAGCCTATAATGTCTGTCCTGTGCAAGTATTTGAAATCATGCCATGAAGCCTCTCCTCCTCCCAGTAAACACCACTCCCCCAGGACCTTCAAAAAAAAAAAAAAAAAAAAAAAGCAGCTTTTTAGTGATGTCCCAAATTTAATGTTCACTTTTTCGTTTAACAGCATCATAAAAAGCATTAAAATAACACTGCACATTGGCAATGGCAAGACATACTAAAACACAGGAGGGAAAAGAAAGCAATGTAGGCAGCTTTTTCTATTACTGAATTTAAATTATCACCATCATTTCAGTTTTTGTGTTTTTTTTTTTTTAATTTATTTTATAGATCCTTTGCTTCAATGCAGATGGTCTCTTCTTTAAGCTGACTCTAGTTACTTCTAACTACAACTCCAAGTGCATTATTACAGTCAAAAAGTAACACAAGAGATTGACTTTTTCTGACAACATACAAGTGAGCGTTTTTTTTTCAGTGTCAAAATGGCTTCAACTCTTAGTAGCAGCCAATGTCTTGAGACACACTTCTCATTCCAGCAGCCCCTCTGGTGAGCACACATAAAATACTGCAAGGCCTTTCTCTTCAGCTCACTTGTACAAAAGCATCAGCCTGTTGGAATACAGTGAAATATATACAGTAGTTCTACATTTTGCAAATTCATAATTTGGAAAACAGGCTTATATTAAAAAGAGCCTTTAGATGCAGAACACGACTTTTGGTATGCACATTCTATGTTCTGTAATAGCAACAAGGTAGAGTTCTGAACAGCTAGAACTTCTGAAACATTAAAGGTATCCATTTCCTGTAGTAAGGAACCTCAGTAAACCTGAGTAAATCCTCAGCCTGCCAGACTCCCGTGCTCAAAAAGCTCTCATTTGGAGAAGCCAAACACTGGTTTATAATACATTTGAAACAAGACTTTAATGAGAAGTAAAATACTTATCAGTAGCAGTTCAATGTATATTAGCAGCACTTTCCCAGTAATGCTGTAACAACACAGTGAGTCTGGGTTAGTGTTAGCACTGTAACAGAAGTCACCCTTGGGACATCCCCCAAGGCCTGCAATTAGGCCTGACACCTCCTGAATCAACACAACAGTAAGAGAAGAAAGTTAAAAAAAAAAAAAAAAAGCAAAAAAACCCACAAAAAAACAAAAAACCATTTGCAGATCAGTTCTGCAAATGTCAGCCATGGTGTTTACCATTAAAATAGATCAGAGGGATCCAGTAGGCCAGCTTAAAGTCATTTCTATTCATCTTCAGAAACATACACTACATCAAGCTCTTCACACACCACTGACACACTGCTATTATTTTGTTAGTTGGGAAATATTACCGTGTAAGTGCTCAATGTGAGGTGTGCCAGTAGGTGACACCGCACGTTGCCAGGGCACAGGCAGCATCACTGTGCTCTCTGAAGGCTGTCCAGTACTTCCGATGGATAACAGCTCTCCACCTGGAGACTGGGATCCAAGCTACAACTCACACCACAGGCTCTCCTCAGCACATACATGGCTGTGCACATGCCAGACTGCCTCCGAGCTGACAGTCAAGTCCATTGTGGGGCCGAGCAAGCCTGATGCAGACCCAGAACAGAGCTCTGGAACAGAAGAAAGCTGAAGAGAACCGTCTGCTCTCCCACACACAGTGGATTCTGCCTGGCAAATGCTCTCCTCACTTATCATTCCGTAACAGATTTCACTGGGAAGATCAGTTAAACCAAGAGGAGAGTAACACAATTATTCACTTCAGCCTCCTTCCATCAGAGTTGATTTAAACTTCCAGAGCTCCAGCCAAGCCACACCCACAGCGGCCTTAGGACCAGCAGCGGCAACCCTGCACCCCCTGCTCACAGCAAGTCAGTCAGAAAGCAGGGCTGAGTCTGAGCTTCCCCACAGTGGCAGCTGCTGACACACCTGGCTGCAGAGCAGCAGCCGCGATAAGCACACAGCTCCCTCATGGCCACTTGCACAACAAGCACGCTGCTCTGCTGCTCAGCAAGAACTGCCCAGAACAGAGCTCAACTCTAGACAGCTCCATTTCAGTAACACAGCATTTGATCAAACTTGCAAATAACTTGACGTAAGAATATTGCATCCGATAACAATTTACATCTGCAGTACAGGACTTTTCAGGTCCAGCACAAGAACATTTTCAAATAAAATCCGAAATCTGAGTGTACCACCTAGAAAGACAGTGCAGAACTCTGTAGCTGTCTAACACTCACGGTCCTGGGTGGCTACCTGGGGGATCAGGGAGGGCTGTGGGGACTGCATTTGGAAACATTCAAAGCACACAGAAAAGAGCCACGTCACTTTGGTTGGATCTTCATGATAGAAGTACTTTTTTTTAAAAAAATATAAATATATGAAGTTAGCACTTACTATTTTGCAAAAGGTTTTAAATTTGTATGTTAAATTTCTATTCTTCAAGTAAAATGGACAGTGATCACAAGTCACCTGCCTAGCACATGCTCAGAACCAGACCATCCCATTTAGGACTTGTATCACAGAGCCACTGAAATGCAGAAATAACAGCAACACAAATTCAGATGTGACAGTGCTCAGATGTCTGTGCAGGGGGGGCATCTTGAGGGAGGAGGAGGCAGAAGGACCACACGTGCTGTGCTGTGGCAAGGTACAAGGAGCATTTCAGGTAGCTTTTTTCTTTTATCACTTCCTATCTTTACAGTAAGGCTGTGCAAAGTGAACGAAGTTCAGATTAACAACTTGGTATTCACTTGGGGGCCCATTTAACCAATAGTATAACTCTCTTACAGGTATGTATTATGAGCTACTTGTTCACATTCTGGTTTGCTCTCCTGCATTCTGATGCTTCCGCTTAGTTGCATAGGCACCAGAAAGAATGTGCTGTGCAACCTGCAACATTTCAGGGAGTCACCAGCCTTCTTCTGCTCTGCTCAATTGCTGCAGGCTAGATGGCTTCAAACAGTAACAGCCAGAAAAGAAGAATACTTCAACAGCTCACAGAAAAGTGTTTCCTGAGGTCCCTACTCACTGATAGAAATGCACACCCAGGAGTTTCGATGTGAGAACTGAAAGAAACACTTCCTCATCCCACGCAGGCTACCAGACATGTTCCTCACAGCACCTAGAAGAGTAAATCTCTGACTAAAGCTGCAGATCAAATCATGGTTTTTCCCTTCTTTCCCAAAGACTGAGCTAGTACATCTTCAGAAAGCTACCAGTATGAGCGCGGAAAACACTTTTCACTGAATATACTTTCCAAAGGCATAAAATCTTAGAGTTCAAATAGACCATTATATGCTGAAGAATGACTTGTTAAGGACATAACGTGACTGCAACAACTGCTGAATTCTGCTTGGACACAAGGACAAGAGAATCTGTACTCGGTGATAAAACAAGGCTCTTAGCGGCTGGAGTCAAACCCTCCCAAGGGGCCCAGAGATAACAGCGGGCAGCTGAACTCTGAGTCCCTCTGTAGGATGGGACGTCCCCAGCACAGCATTAATTTGTGTGCAAGCTCTGACAGAAGCAGAAGATGGACATGAGGCTGTTCAGAGCTCTCACAACATGCACTCAAGATTCATCCAACTAATTTACTGAAACCACCATCTCTAAATAATTTTGTTAATAAATCGAAATTTAAGTGAATTTGTCTAGCACACCAAGAAGCGAGCACAAGATGCAGCAGAGGAGCCCAGCTGGCCGGCTCTCAGTGCATCACTGAGCTCTCCACACACTGCCCAGTCAATTGAGGCTGTGGACAATGTGTTCCTGGGCCCCTGCAGCTGGTACACTCCAGAAGAGCAGTTGCTGAAGTGAGCTATTTCAGCGTTCAATGACTTAGTACCTAAAGGCGCATACTGCACTACACAAGAAATGAGAGATGAAGTTTATTATTATACCGTTACACTCTTCATTTGCTTCAAGGTACT